GAGTATTGAAATGTTGAAGAATTGTGTGTTAAAAGAGAGGATTTGGGTGCCATTTTATAGCCCAAAAAGGGATAAACCCGTTGCTAGAATTTCCAACAGGATGAAGACAAATTTTTCAGGGACACAGGCTGATAGTCGATTGTCAAACCATGATAATCGATTATCCAAAGATTCCCTGTCCAAAAATTTAAAATTCTATCCGTTGGAGGACAACGGTAACCCAGATAATCGATTGTCAACAAGTGATAATCGATTATTGGTCCTCTCTGAAGATTCTGGGTTTTGGCTGCAAAGGCTGATAATCGATTATTGCAAAGCTGATAATCGATTATTGCGTGCTTCAGAACTTGGAAGTTCAAAGCTGCAAGGGCTGATAGTCGATTGTCACTAAGGTGATAATCGATTATCACCCAGCTAAAGTCTAGCCAGCTGAAACCCGTTTTGAAAAACCGAGGTCCAAAAACGAAGTGTTCCCAAAAGTAAAAACCAAGTATGAAAAACATTGCATATGGTATAAAATAGTGAAAACAAGACTTGTTTGGTGAAAACCAAGTCCTCTAGGTCGTAAATCACGTGCGTACGATTTTGACCGTTTTTCACGTGTTAAACTGATTGACCAAGATACAAAAGTGGTTTTTACAAAATAATTATTCGGGAACCTTTAAAATATGCTCAGAGATAAAAACAGGGTTTAAAATATTGAAAACCACGGAGTTGGTTCGGGCGCCAAAAACCGAACGCCGAAAGCCGACTTAGGTGGTTTTGGTTCTGAGCAAGGACCAGGGATTTTTAACAATAAAAGAAGTCATCAAAAAATGTTTTTTTTGATGCACAAAAAAAGTTTTATGGTTTGTAAAAATTGTTTTGACTTTTTGAGAACCGAGACTTGAATAAATTGTCGGTTTTGATCACAAAAGACCGACTCGACTAAGTCTTCAATTCTTGATCTTGTCCTTGCGTCTTTTAGGTCTTGTTCCAAGCCATTCTTCACGCCTTGAGTTATTCAACGAAACTTCTTCATATCCACGGCGGTTTGGCAATTATCAAAACCTGTCAGAAATGAACACGACTTTAGTTTAACGTACAAAGTGTGTTCCAACATCACTAGTTTAAGGCAAATGATTTCGGACACTTAACTGTAGTCAGTTAAGGCAACAACAATATAATGATTGGTCAACAATGGATCGGGCATTCCCAACGAGTAATCCTCTGGTTTGGTCTACGAATCCCATTTATGAATTTATATCTAATTCATCAACTATTCATGTTTTCATAAGTTCATTCTAAGATCTATTCTAGATGTTTTCTAGATAGTCTTAACATTAATTAGCTAATATGTATATCTTAAAGTTCTTCTAGATATCCTTAACAACATTATTCATCAATTCATACTCTTAGTTCAACAATTATTTCATCCAGAATATTCATCATCATTAATCCATAATATTCATAAAAATGAACAATCAATCAATCATCATAATAACTAATAACAATCAGCGGCCTAGCATCGAGTGTTAACACCCTAGCTTACCGTCATGCATCACATAAGATCCCTTTTAGTTGTTAAAATACCATCTTTATTCCAAGAAATCATCCTTTTATTAATCATAATGGTTTGGTATCAAAATATAGG